ATATATATATATATATATATATATATAGGCCTATTAATAAGAAAATTTTATGTCATTTGATAGTAAATACCTGTTAATTTACATGTTTTGAAATTTATAACAAAATTTAAAAAGAAAGTGATTCTCAACAGGCTATTAACAACTATTATATTACATGTAATGTAGATTTTGCTTGTCCAAAATAGCATAGCACTTAGACATACAACATCGCGTTGTTCGGATCTAAATTAATAGGTGCGGACTGGGCCTAGGCCTTTTAGCTTAGCAACTTAGAAATTCGTACAGTCAACGGGTATTTGTGGCAAGCTTCCAGTTAGGTATTTGTGGCAAGCTTCCAGTTAGGGTCCTAGTCCAAGGGTGTCTCCAAAATAACTACTGTAGTAGTATAATAAGAACTATAAAAACTCATACGGTAACTGAAATATGTACTACACTAACAGTAGCTAAACCTAGTCTAGCACTAAACGTACGTAGTAATACGTCTGTATTGAGGGCTATTTTAATAAACTATTTAGATAGGCTCTTCTTTTCCCATTTTTCAGTTTTTTTTAATCATAGAGTAGTGTAGATCAGATTTTTAAGAACATTTTTCAGAAAAAAAAAATGTGATACGACCGTTCATTATGGAGTTATGTGGCTTTTAGGGAATGAATGAATTTTAGTACCTATAAATATCTAAAGTGTACTGTATCTAGAATTCTGTCTGACCACGGTAAGAATGGCCCCGGGAAAAATGGCCCAGGGAAAAACGGCCCTGGAAAAAATGGCCCCGGTAAAAATGGCCCGAAGTGACAGGTAGGTAAAAATGGCCCCATTAATAACATTCTGTATTAAAACTGATTTTTAAAAATCATTACATGCATTTTTATAACTGAAATAATTTAGTTTAATTTTTGATCACAGGAAAGCGTGTCAATCATGATAAAATATGGCTTTTAGGGAATGAATGAATTTTAGTACCTATAAATATCTAAAGTGTACTGTATCTAGAATTCTGTCTGACCACGGTAAGAATGGCCCCGGAAAAAATGGCCCAGGGAAAAACGGCCCTGGAAAAAATGGCCCCGGTAAAAATGGTCCCGGTAAAAATGGCCCGAAATGACAGGTGGTAAAAATGGCCCCAATAATAACATTCTGTATTAAAACTGATTTTTAAAAATCATTATGAATTTTTTGAACTGAAATAATTTTGTTTTTAAAAAGAATCTAACATCAAATAAATTGCCATTTACATTTTACTTTTTGCAGGAATTACATATTCAATAATAAAATACTCAAAGATAAAAAAAAGCCATAAACACTTTTTTTTCATTTAAATGTTAATATAATCAATAAATCAACTAAAATATTTTATTTGTGGCCAATTTCACGAAAGCGGAATCACAATTTTCCAGAAATTCAATCCGGGTATAATAAATGTATTCCTAATTATTCAGTTTACTTTAAAAACAATATTTGATTAACAAATACTTCTTTGAAGTAACTCTAAGCAGAACATAATTGCTAAGTTTGTGAGAAAGTAAGCCTCTCCTTTTCCCCATACATGAACTTGTGATTCAAATACACAATTGACCAATATGCTTTAACTACTGTTTATTTGCACTGTTTATGTAAAGTTATTTAATTTAATACTTAACAAAAATGAATTTTGTAGTAATCTATAAGTTGCATATTTTGGTAGTTGAAGTGGAATATAATAACGTTTTTAAAACTTTTATTTCTACTATCAAAAAATGTTATTCAAATGCTATTTTCCAATAATCTCTCAGTACATTATTTGCATCTGCTGTGTAAGTGTATTTGTTATTGATTAAATTCTTGCTTATTACAGTATTTAGATATTTGAAGATTAAAAAAAAAATCATTTCTATTACTGAATTTTTTCATTGGACCATTTTTTACCTACTTGTCACTTGGGGTAATTTTTACTGGAGCCATTTTTACTGGGGCCATTTTTTCCGGGGCCATTTTTTTCCTGGGCCATTTTTACCTACATTCAATACACTATATTGCACAAGTCATTGAGTAAAGGCAATCTACAATCAATAATAGGTGGTCAAACCAAATATAATCATGTATACTATGATTTATTATGGAAAACTCTGGCACTTTCATCAATTAATTATGCATGTGCAGCGTGGGTTGGCGAGCCTAGTGACATTTTAGCCATCGAGAGGTTACAAGTAAGAATGGCTAAGGCAATCTCAAGGCCTCACGCACCACTTCTAAAGAGACATTATATGGTTATATCTAGGGTGAAATCCTATCTTTACAAAAATATATCATTAGACTTAAATATTTAAGAAGACTTTAAATGTTAGAAGTTAGCCTTGTATTGCGTAATCTGAATTTAGGGATATCTATGATTACATTTTTTTAATAATTAACTTTTGCAATCAGACCTTGATTTTCCCAGTCAACTCTAGCTAAGCTACGGTAATGCATAATAATTCGGCCTAAGGATACATTATAATAATTTAATTGGTCAATTTCAAGCGAAGTACCGGTACTGAAATAAGGTGAATAAATGAATGCTATTTTCCTTACACAAGAGCTGCTGAAACTGATGCAAACACCGAGAACATTCAGATAAGCCCATTTATCTGAGATTTCTGGCTAATCGATTAAAAATATTTGCCAATCTCAATTTAGGGATATCTATGATTACATTTTTTTAAATAATTAACTTATGCAATTGGACCTTGACTTACCCAGTCAACTCTAGCTAAGCTAATGCATAATAATTCGGAACTGTTTATGACATCCGACAGATCAATAGTTTACCATGGAAGTGGTTTGACCACCATGATGGATATCGTGTCCAATGCGTACATGGTTGGTGGTTTTGGTTTTGGTTCTTGTGGGTAAAGCCTACCTCCTAAGGACTCCAAAAGTGAAGGAGTATAACATACTATCAATTCAACCATGATTCAACAAAATATAAAAGACGTAGCAAACGGAAAAATACTCCATCATTGACGATGAATAGTAGTATAATAAAGATGATGAAATTATGTATATTCGGGCAGCTAGATTTTTTAAAGATTTTCAAAGAGTCGTGTAATGGAAAAACTTGCTTTCCAAGGAGTTTGCCTGAAATTTAAAGCCAGATCAAATACCCTAGGGGAGAAAGGCAGTGTAACCATGAGTTCAATGGCTGGTCCAGTAAAGTGTGAAAGGAGAGCTTGATTATTTTACCTCACTAATTTTGGATCTCTATTGATTGATGATGAACCCAATACGACAACGCTATATTCCCGACACCTATTTTGTTTTCAATGATTTCATAATCATGTAAAACAGGCCAAAAGACGGAGAACTAAGCAGAGATCTTTAGCCATTATTACGGAATGTAGAATGTGTACCCATCTAGTAGAGCTATCCATGCTTAGTGGCGTATTAACGCTCTCGTGCGTGGCAATCCGTAGCGCCACTGACTATTGGGGTCCCCTTCGGTGCCCCTACCGATACGGTCTTCGCTCTATCCATGATCCAAAATAGCTTTGCTGATACATAACATCATAATGGTGATGTCTCTGACATCGACTGTAGAACACAAGTCATATTTTTCCAGGTGGGGAAAAAATCATTTTTGCCAAAAAATAACTATAAAAATACCTGTTATACGAGCAACCTAAAGTAAATAGTGATAACATTAATAAAAGAAATTGGTTAATAATGCTTTTTCTTTAGTACCTAAATATCTTTTTCAAATTTACCGTACTCGCGCGAATAAGCGCCCCGTTTGAATAACCGCCCCTCCTAACATGAAAATTCTCTTAAAAAGCGCCCGTTTGTATAAGCGCCCTTCTAATTTGAATAAGAGCCCCTCAATAATATCATAAGATTTTCTTTTTAGCAAGTCAATAATCCAATCAATCCTGGGACTGTGGTTGTTGGCATGATTTGAGCTGCAGAGTGGAAACACATTCTTCTTAGATCAATATCAAAATGAGGATATTTCTCTTGGACAGATGAGAGCTCTGATCCCTGGACAGACAGTATATTTCCAACTTTACTCTTTTTACATATTTGTCTATAGTCCTATTCCTCTTTTTCTTTTTTCGACCTTTAGCACATATTCATCTGAGTTTTCAAGAAAAAATACAATGATCCTTCCATCTTGCTAATCTTAATCGGGCCGATGGCCAACAAGCTAACCACTACCCACCACCACTAATTGCATCTGCTTTTTTGCTGTTATGTAAATATTCACAGCATTCTTGTCATGGGCCATGTTCTCTGGACGATTATCTTATCCGCGTAACCACTATTCGTAATGTCCTTATATAATCTTTTTTTTATTCAAAAGTGCCTCTTGAATTTAATAATTTCCCATAAGAACCCCTTGATTTTGATCTATTTCCATAAGCGCCCCATTTAAATAAACGCTCCGTTTGAATAAGTGCCCCTCAGAAAGTGCGTCCGGGCGCTTATTTGCGCGAGTACGGTATTTTATTAATGTCGCAATATAATGTAGGCCTACTAGCACGTTGTAATTTAATTTCTAGACCAGTTAAGTTACTGTAGGCCTATTCTAAGAGTATTTTTACGTAAGTATGTTAAAAATATTTTTTACATGTTTAAATTAACTCTCTTAACACATTTATATACAGGTGGAACTCTTTGCGGAGTTATTTGAACACTGGTTGAACTATACAAGTGTATCAAGTAAGTCGATAAACGCCTACACATCTTACGGTCCAAGTATTAGTGGAAGTTTTTCAGAAGAAAACGAATCTGTAAAGAAACATCAAGTGTACGGTAAATCATCAACAATTCGAGTTCAAGTGCGTCATCATTTGTATACAGTCCGCCTCAACAATCCAACTTTGCATCCTGCGTTTAAGTCACGTGTAGTCGAGATTGGCACACACTACAACGATACACGTATGGCCCGATACCTGACTCAACTGCTAGTGCGAGACTATGGAACACACGTGGTGACGGCAGTGGACGTAGGCGGAATTTTTCTCCAGCAAGATCATGTCAGGAACAATTTTGTCAGAGATCACTCTTCAGATAAAAATGAGATTAAAGCCGCTGCTAGTGCTATGTTCTGGGAAATTTCAGCTGGTGTTGGATTTAATACGTCTGTAAACCAAGCTATCCTTGAATCCTATCTCAAAAGCCGCACATACTCAAAATATCAGACGTTTGGTGGTGGTCCTTATAGAGTTAAACAGACAATAAATGACTGGCAGGACGGGTTGCCAAACAACCTGGTTGCCATCGATCGACACGGAGATCCACTGCACTATATGATTACAACGAACACCTTGCCAGATGTTCCTGCATACATGGTGCATATCGTCTCAGATTTAATCCTCGAAGAGGTTGAACGTTACTATGAAGTGAACAAGCACGTAGGCTGCACTAATATGGATTCAATCAACTTTAACTTTAGGGCGAATCATGACGACAAGTCATGTGCCGCACCTTACAATAATTACACATTTGGCGGTGTCTATCAAAAGTGTGAGATGCAATCAAAATCACTTACCGAGAATGTTTGTTCAAAGCTGTCACAGAAAAACCCTCTCACAGGAGACTTCTCTTGTCCGGACGGCTACGAAGCGGTTCAGTTGAATTCGGGTTACGATTTTTACACTATCACTAAAACTAACTGCAGAGAGAGATGCAGGTTCTTCTCGTTTTTTTGTAAAAATGTATGTGAAGACATTCACGACACCACCAAATTTGTTTACAGAACTTTCTGGTGTGCGGCTACTAGTTCTGTTCCTGCTCGTAGTGGATACCTGTTCGGTGGTGTCTATACATTCAATATGGCGAATCCATTGACAGAAACAAATGAGTGCCCGAACACCTTTCTACCATTGAGGATGGGCGTTGAGTTATTCGCGTGTGTCAGTAGTGACTATGAATTAGGCTACAGGTATTCTATTCCATTTGGTGGGTTCTTTAGTTGTTCAGCAGGAAATCCATTGGCATTGCCAGGTAGCAACACGTATGTATCAGACAGCATAAGTAAAGAATCAAGTGATATCTCTTCGACATTCATCCGAGAAACAGGTCCCGGGGGTTGGCCTAAGCGATGCCCGACGGGTTATAGTCGACATCTAGCTACCATAGACAATGACTGTGAAATTGACTTCTGCGTCGAGGAAAAGGCGCTTTCATATTTGGGACTTCCGCCAATTCAACGTCCTCCATACTCTCGCAAACCTTTAGGTAACTACACAGCAATTGAAACCATGTTCAACCAACCAACTAACATAACCAATTCAGCAGGGTATGGGAGCATGCCTGATGACAACCAAGAGATGTACGGAGATAAAGACAAAAATGATACGCAGAACACAATAATTGTTCTTTCCCTATTAAGTGCTATCCTAATTAGCATTTTGATCGCTATCGCTATGATGTACCGAAGAAACAGACGTAGATCTAGAAGTTCACTCTCACCAACTACATCAAACGAAGGCAACACTGGGGTGTCCGAGGACACAGAATTGCTGGGATGATGGAAGAAGAATGTTTGGTAGACTATATCAGCAAGAAGTAAATAATTTGAGTCCAAGTTGTTGATTAATTCTCAGTTAATTGTAGTAGGCCTAATACTAATAATAATAATGATAGATGATGATAATAAAAAATATTAAGTAATTGTGACATAATTAAGTGTGGTAATAATACCTAAATAATAATATGATATGGAATATAAGCAATTAGTAGAGCTCCGCATAGTACACTATAGGAAAATTATTATACGAAGGTTAGATTTAATGAAATTTTTGAATCCATTAAATCTAACCTATAAGTATAATAATTTTCCGCTAGTGTACGATGCATGCTCTACTAATTGCTTTATAGGTTAATTGCCGTCTTTTAATGTTAGTTTTGACAGGGCAATTTGCTTTGGCTTTGATAACCAAGACTATGCGATGATTCCATAACTACGCTAGGCTACGGCCAGGCCTAGCACTAATTTCGTTCCTTGAGTCATTAAAGTAGGTCTAGAATATTTCTTTTTAGTTTATTAGGATTCATTAATTCAAGGAATTCTTTATTTGTTCGTACTTAATTAATATTGAACTTGAAGTAACTTTCTTTAGGTTCTAATTAACCTTGTTTTACGGAAGTATTTTTCAATTACAATTCAAGTGTCATCGCGGTGCTCGATATCTTCGCGGTGACGGAAAATTAGGTATTTTCTTTGTACACGAACCTAAAAAAACATCAAGCCGAGCGTCCACTATTGAAAAATTATTGGACTGTGGAGGATAGGGAAATAATATTGGGAGTTCCAGTGATAAGTCACGATTGACTTTGAATTATAATTGTAACTTTAATTATTTTTCTTTTTAAAATTATAAATCGTATTATGAATATGAAGAGGGCCTATTATAAATATGAATATTTTAAATAGAAATATATTTATATTTAAAATATGAATATTTTAAATATAAATATTATAAATATAAATTATTATAAATACATTTCTCCCTCCAATTAAAAAACCACTTTTGGGACCGGAGTTTTACTGGTCTTTAGCACCTCTGGCCTGTAATTAGAATCCCTCTAAATGACTGACACTGTCGTTAAATATCACTATTTAGAGGGAAATTATGAAATATTAAGTAAATGTAAGATTGTTTTATTCGTATTGATTAGAATGGATTTACAGTCATTGTATGCTATTATTGATTCTTAATAAAAAATTTCTCGGTAGGCAAGTCATGCGATCGTTCTACCCAAATCTCCATAAAAATATTACTAACAACACCTGTCCTACTAAAACTATCAGTAGTTCTATTCAATAGAGAGCACTGTATACACACAAAAAAAATCATCTTTTGCTATATATTATTTCGATATATAGTCGTCATAAATTATTTTCAAAAAACTGCATTAAAATCACTACTGTAATTGAAGGAAAATTATTTGTATGAATGTTATGACTATGAAAATAAACATTATAAATTTTATGTGACATGACTATTGGTGACTATGGAGTACTGTACCACAGTCGTTTCGTCACGACGCCGGGTGGCGCTCTCTGTTGTCAATAGACGTTGGTTAACGTCATTACGCCTGAATAGGCATTTTAAAATCTAATATTTTACCATCAAAATGTACTAAAACACAAAAGCTCGCATTATATTACTTATCGAACACAAGTAATCATCAATTAAGATTTACAAAAAAAAAGTAAGATACAACATCTTAATAATTACGTTAGAAATTTGATCAATGGTTTTGTCAGTGAAGAAAATGGCGTGAGGTTGAACGTTTTTTGCAACGATAGCAATGGAGTAGTATCACGTGACACTATAGTACTCTATGAATATTATGAATATTGTTATGAATATCAATATGAATATTATTATGACTATAAAATAAATATTATAAATTTGACTATGTCTATGAATATTATAAATTATAAATACAAACATTACGAATATTTATATTATAAATATGAATATGAATATTATAAATATGAATTATGGTATATATGAATATCCAATAATGATATATAAAAACTACGGGCGGGGGGGGGGGAGAAGGAGGTGTTGAGAGTGGAAATTTCCCTGATCAGAGCATAGATCTAGGACTTTTATCCTCGCCCCTGACCAATTTTGAAAGATTTTAAGGTACGTCCACGCCCACTTTGCTCTCGTCAGGGAATTATCCCCAGCCCTGCAGACCCCGCCCTTCCCCCAGCCCCCAGCCCCAGCCTCTGTCGCCACTGTGGTTGATGAGGCCACACTGGAAGTAAGATCAACTGCTTGGGAGTGAGACAGACAACAAGGAACAACAACAGTACTCCTGAACAACAACTTTCTTGAAGGACTCTTCATCCTGAACCCTGAGTGTACCACCGAAGTACTCGGGGTATTGACAAACCAGACAAACTGCGAGTCAGCGATGCATGCAGTTCATTCAAGCCATCTACCCTGGCGACCACATCAACTGCAATTCATGCGAGGCAGGACGAAGATATAGCTGCAGTATTGTACCAAAAGTGCGAGGCACCTTAAAAAACGCTACAAATCTGTAAAAGTGACAGTGACAATATTTTAATATAAATTATGATGTTCATATTACCTTCTCATCGAGTTATACTAAAATCAAACCATTTCCAGTGGCTGATCCAGAAATGTCCAAAAGAGGGGGGAGGGGGAGGCCGAAAGTTGGGCCGATCGAGACAACATTGATCTAAATTTTTGTGTTCTAGACGCCCGAAAATAATATTTGAGACGTTCTGGGCTATCATTTCTTTCTTTTTTTTACCTCCCAAAAAAAAAAGGCGGGGGGGGGGGGGGTTCCTGATTTCCTTTAATTAAAAAGTGACTTAATTCAATTCGGTCCGATCGTCCGATCATATCACTGAAAACGCCGTTGTCTTTTTTTAGCGCCGTTACGTGTTGTTCGATTCCAACCATTCATAAGCTTTAAACAGCGCCGAAAGGGCCATATCAAAAGCGCCGTTGACTTTTATTAAAAGACGCCGTAACTATAAAATTTGCCGAAAGGGTCACAATACAAACGGCGTTATGTTTATTTTAACTTGTTTTAACGCCGTTACATTGTTCAATTTCAACAAATCACAAGCGCCGAAAGGACCATAATAAAAAGCGGCGTTATTTTTTTTAAATTTTTCACCACACCCTGAATGTACCGGTATTGATTTGTTATAATTTGATTGCTAATCATACCTTTGTTTTTATATTATTTGGCATACAGTCAGATAATTAAGTAAAATTTATATATAATACAATAATCATAATAGGCCTATACCGCATTTATTCAAATAAGCACCCCGGGGCGTTATTTTCCAGATGGTTTTTGAGGAGCCAGCGTTTACTGGTAAATGTAGGATTTACCTAAACTAACGACCCAAGAGCAACAATCATGTGAAGGTGAAATCTCTATTGCAGAGTGCGAAAACGCAATGCATAAAATGAAAATTAATAAAGCACCTAGTACTTACGGTAGAGTTTACCGTTTTTTACTGACCAAAAATAGGGTCCTTAGTGTGTAAAAGTCTAAACCATGGGTTAGAGATAGGGAAACTATCACATTCACAAAGAAGAGGGGTTATAAACCTGTCTTCAAAAAGGGGGAGCGCGAGGATCTTAACTGGGGAACGGTGAAAGAGATACAGATTTTTTAATATTTAAAAACTGGGGGAATAAGGTGTAAAAATGGGCAGTTACACCCCTTTTCCCCCCAGTTTTTAAATATTAAAAAATCTGTATCTCATTCACCGTTCCCAAATTTTTCGTCAAACAACTTTTTTCTTTCTTAGAAAAATCAGTTCTACAACATATCAAAACTTTTTTTTTCCTCCGGAGCCTGACTTTAATAATTGGAGGCCCGGATTACCCTCTTAAATGTCGATTATAAAATTGCCGCCTTTGTTTTATCAAAAAGACTTCAAAATGTAATTAAAAAAATAATAAATCATGATCAAAAAGGTGATATTGAAGGTCGCTTCGGTGGCGTTTTAGTATGCACAGGGGTATTAGACAAGGTTGCCCTTTGTCTGCTCTCCTCTTCTTCATGGTAGCCGAAGTCATGGTGTTGAAAATAAGAAATGATGTAACGATAAAAAGGTAGGCCTATTGTACTACCAAATACAGGAAATTGCGATAATGAAGTAAAAATAGCACAATTAGCTGATGATACAGTTTATTTATTAAAAAATGAGAAAAGGTATTAAAAAAAAAAAGTTTAGATAAAATAGTTACCGTAATTTTGGAAAGATTTCTGGTCTTCAATTAAATAAAAAAGAAAAAAAAAGAAAAGACAAACGCCATGTGCTTAGGCCAATGGAAATTAAAAAAATGTAGTCCATTTGATATTAAATGGACAAGTGGTTTCAAAATTCTTGGTATATTTGTTTGTCATGACAAATCTATAAGTAATAAAAAAAATTGGTATGAAAAATTCGAATCCTTAAAACATATTCTTAATTTATGGCGTAAAAGGAATTTAACTTATATATAATTTTACAACAATTAGCGTTAGCAAAGCTGGTATACAATTCTAGTATTTTAGAAACCCCCGAATTTGTCTTAAAACAAGTTGACAAAAATTGTCTATGACTTATTTGCGGGATAAAGAAACGGAAAAAATAAAAAAGATTGACTCTCATAAACAAATATGAACATGGTGGTATAGAAGCATCCGACTTCAGATCTCAAGTACTATTATTCAACATATCATGGGCTACACGTCTTTTCAATGATGAATCACATCTTTCTATTCATGTGGAAAATCAAAGATATTGTGCTTGGAAATAGATTTATTCAATCGAACGAATTATTAGAAAAGTTATCTACTAAATCAAATTGGAATATCAGAATATCATATTGTGTTAAAGGCCATTCCACATGAATGGAAAGATGTGATTTTTTCACAAAATGAGAATGCAGAAAAAGAAAAACCTTTGCTTGTTACAAAATTGTGTAAAACAAAATGCAAACAAACGTATAATAGTTTTATCGAAAGGAAATGTATAGAACCGAAATGTCAATTAAAATGGGAATTATATTTCAATACTACAGTTGATTGGATGTTAACTTGGAAAAGAAAAGTAAAAATGATTAGAGAAATCAAACTCAAACAAATAAATTTTAAATTATTACATAGAATTATTCCCACTAGGAAAAGATGATGTATATGGAAAATTCTAAACTCAAACACATGCTTACAATGCAACCTTGTTCAGGATGATGCACATTTATTTTATGAATGTGCAGAAGCCAGTAATCTATGGCGTTACATTAACGAACTTACCTCAAAGAATTACAATATTGAATTACAATATTGAGGCAAACTTTAAGAACATAGTACTTGGTACTGGGAATACGTATGTAGACAATTCGTTTTCATTAGGTTTATTTTGCATAGGCCTATATAAAGAAAATGTGTTAAAACAAATTAATAAATGGAAATTTACCTTAGTCTATCAACTGTTTATTGTTGAAAAAAAGTATAAGAAAGTACATTAAATAGGCCTATACGAAAATAATATATGTAAAAATGTACTTGACCAACCTCAATTTTAAAGGGTAATGCTTTTTTTTAATCGATCGGTTAATTTTACATACATGAATTTACAGTGATTTGTTTTTAATTTGTTTTTAATTTATTTTAAATGTCTTTTTAACGTCTTGTACGATCTACATGGGTGCTATTTATTACTTTTAGATCCAATGAATAGCTCATAGAAAAGCTAATTTGAATGATCGATCGATCGATTGATTAATTGATTGATTGATTGATCGATCGATTAATGCTGTATTTATATGCGAAAGTTCCCCTCTGCCTCTATTACAAATTCTTGCATTCGGGATCCTGTACACGAAACAAATGAGTTTGAAGTGATTTTAGTTGAACGCAGCATTGGTATTCCATCAAGCAAGTCACCTGATTGCACTGGAACTGTCTCTTATACACATCTAGATGTGTATAAGAGACAGTCATTACGCTTCTGCATTTAGACCTAATTTATTCATTGATGTATTTTGTTTATTCAAGGTCGTAAGTTTCTGTTTTCTGGATGGATGGCAGTACAGTAGGTTTTTCAGCTGAGACAGGGAGGTCGCGGAATAAAACCCCTGGTGGTGGTGGTGGTGGTGGTATGGGATAGGCAGCTGCGGCTTCCCCTGCCTCTACATACCGATGATTAGTTTTTATAGTTTAATTTATTTAAAGCCTGTCCGACAAGGGTGGGGGGAATGGGGTTCAGAGGGGAAATTTTCCTGATCATGATCAAACTCTTCTCCCTATGGTTGGATGGCCGGATGGCTGCTGAAAGATCAGCAGCTTCGATTGACAGCCCAGTGAAACTCGTCATGCATACAGTAAGTTATAATTATAACCACATCCATGACGAAATTTCTATAAATAGAATAAAAACCTCGATCGTTGTTTGGCATTGCACAACTGTTGAGAAATTCAAAACAAATAAAACATCGAACGAGCTCGAAATGTATTCAATTAATATTCGGTTCATACACGGAAAGACCTGGAGGTCCCCGATAACTGTAAGTCATGACAGTGTCTTTAGAGGCCTAGGCCTACCTAACATACATTTTCCCTTATAATTTATACATTTTATCCTAGGCTGTTTAGTTAGCCTAGCCTGGGTGAATTCGGCTAGGCCTAGGTAGGTCTACCTCTACGCGGTAGTAGTAGGCCTAGGCGTAGACTCGAGGCCGCCTAGATAGACCCGCTGGCCTAAATAGTCTAGGCCTAACCTAGGCATAATTTTGATTAGCTAGTTCGTTTTTCTCTATGGTTTGGACAACTTTTTTAGCCCACTATGGCCTAACATTGTATTGTGGTTTATGCGCGAATGAACACCAGTTTGTGCCGTGGGCATCCTTCCTCTGTCTGTGATCAGTAGTAGTACTAGTAGTAGTAGGCCTAGGCTAGGCCTAGTAGGTAAAGTGTAAAGTGTTTGTTTTCTCTTTCTATTCATACTAATTTGTGTTTTGTCGAATGACAAGGTATTCATTGTTTTGAACAAAACTTTACTCAATAATTATGTATGTATTACCTAGGGTTACAGCACCAAGAATATACCAACACTAGTACTAGCATGGGGCAAAAACGAGGCCGGTTTGGTCGAACAACGGGTGCAACTTTGCGAAGAATTCCTACTTGGCGGAGTTCATTGACGGCACAAGATGTTTGTGTAATACAGAAGAAAGTTGATAATGAAAAGAAACAAGAAATATTGGCAGAATTTGAGAGCCAGTTTGAGGATGGAGGGTTGGGTTCTACGGGTAATTATAAACTGTAGTTGTCTGTCTTAAAATATTGTGAATGTGCAGTATTCCAATTTACGTTGGATAATAATAATAATAATAATAATGATAATAATAATAATAATAATAATAATAATAATAATAACAATAATAACAACAACAATGGTGGATAAAAGAGAAGGCCCAGCCAACCCTGGTCCCTCCTAAATTTTTGAAATTATACCAAAAAAAATGGAGAAAAAAAGAGGAATAATTTAAATCTGAGAGTGCCATTTTCTGCTGGTGCCATATTCATATTTTGTCTTACCTCAGCCCTGATCATGGTTGGGGGGGGGGGGGTGCTTGAGTGTGTGGACCCTGTATCTGTGAAAGTCCTGAGCCCCATCTATTTCAAATACCTGGATCTGCCCCTAAATAATATTGAAAATTTTAAAAGGAATATAATCTTTTGGATCAAATGAATCAATATACCTTTCCCTATAATTTAATTCATTTTTTTTCAGATTTGAGCAACCACTACAAGTATCCCCTTGGTGAATTCCCAATGTATCTCAGTACATTTACTCCCTTTCTTGCTGCAATGGATAATCCTGACCAAAATGGTCTTCCAAACCTCGGAGAGTATTTAATGTAATCATTCGTAAAAATGTTATGCTCAGCAGTGCAGACTCGTTTCTGCCTGGGATGCAAAAATGAGAATGCAGAAAAAAATCCCAGAATGCAGAGCTAAATCCTACTCCAATGAAAACTTAATGGTTATTTTCGGTATTTTAACCCACTTAGTGGACTAATTTGCTGCCAGGTGGGAGGAGGTGGGGAGGGGCGCTACACCCCACAGTCTATGCGCATGTATGCTTGGATCTAGTTTTTGTTTTTAATATGAACCTGCAACTCAGTAACTTCTTCATTTCACAGATTATCCTCTGTTTTATTCGCTAAACAAATGCAAACGATGGGAGTTGCCAAACTTGCTGAAAGATAACATCATGTTTGATCCTGTACACGAAACAAATGAGTTTGAAGTGATTTTAGTTGAACGCAGCATTGGTATTCCATCAAGCAAGTCACCTGATTGCACTGGAATCCACAAAAGCAAAGGAGAAATTCATTCTAAGCAGCCTAGAAATAAGTATGCTCATGTGCATGATTTAATCAATGTAGAACAAAATGCCAAAATATCAAATGCCAAGAGAAATAGTGGGAATCGTAAGAAACGTAGTAGGACAGAAACTGAAGACATTGAAAGAGACCCGACTCCATGTTTAAAATACGAAGTCAGTTACGCACGTCCTCGCAAAGAATATCCGCATTTTGCACCTACACTTGATCACAAAGGAGGTGAGCATAAGGAATTTTATTTTGAGCATGATTTAATTTAAATTTATTTTGTATAATAAAATATACATTTTGCCTTTAAAAAGTTGTTACTATTTATTGCAAAATAGATACAAATTACAATGTAACAAAATATGTTTTCAGGCAGATAGAAAAAAGTATTAGATTCAGTCACTCTACTGATTACCATCATCATCATTTTATCATCATCATCGTCATCATTTTATCATCATCAATATCATAATCATCATTACATCATAATCATTACATCATAATCACCATCATTATCATCATCAATATTCATCAGTCTTCATGTTCATCTCTTTCATCAGTACAGTACTATTTTCATCTTTCCTAATAAATTTTGGGTTTATTAAAGTTATTTCATAAATGTGATATTGCTATTGAATTACACGGTTGACCTACTCATTTCTATTGAATTTAACTCATTTTGATATTTTTTAGATTTTGCTAAAAGAATAGCGAAAAAGGGGCAACGACCTAACAAGTGCCACTTAGAATTTGAGGAAGATGATGATGATGATTACTATTCAGATCACTTCGATTGTGATGATGGTTATATTGGTGATGAGGAGAGCATTTTTTATGTTTATGATCCAGAGTTCTCAATGGGACCACCACCATTGTTAAGCCTTAGCGATCATTTGGATTTCTCAGACACACAAACCAGATCACCAAAGAAAAGTAAATTACATAAGAAGAAATTGAAGAAGAACACTACATGCGATGAGGCCAAGATTTCAGGAAAAGACCATAAAATCACAATACCTTCACCAGATGTTCCAACTACAAGCATCAATAACCAACCAGCTGCCACAATGGCACTGTCACCAGATATTCTTCCAACACTGCCACCTACTACTTCCATTCTTATTACTAAGTCTTCTATAATCCCTGAATGTTTGGAAACGATTTTTAAAAGTGATTACACTGAGGGTGCTAGTCTGCCTAGGAGGTTCCTAATTGACGTGACATCGCACGTTCAAGATACTCTGCTTGAACGAGGAATGAGCAAAGCTGCCACACAACTGCGAAAAATGGGGCGAAGATTTCTCGTCATTTTCACAAAAATTCAGAAAGGAATGTCAGAATCTTTTGTAAACTATGCCAGGACAGAGAAGAATGGTGAATTGTTGGAGGAAGTTGACGACTTTAGGTAGGCCATCAAACCATACTAGTTTACTCTATCTCATTTAATGATAATTCTGCTTAAAACATTTTATTATGCTTAGTTTAAAATCATAAACCTACAGTATGTACTTTTGCAGTTTTAACAGAGAATGAGAAATGATGATAAAGATGAGGTAAGTCTGAAGATGAGGCTTTTCATAATGAGGAAGATGAGAATGAGTTGAATTTTACATTGTTTTTATTTTGAATCACTAACTGAAAGTATTTTTATCCTGACAGGGTTTGCTTATTTGGTTTAGAAGATCAATTTATTTCCAATTATGAGTATGAACTTAAGAATGCTCTAAGCAACAGCAATACCTTTTCTGCCACAGATGTCATCACAGCAATTAAGACTATTCTGGACCAGTTACCTGTGGACTAGTAAGTACACCACTCGAAGAAAAAATAATATAAGAATGGCCTAATAATTAATCATTGAATTGCAAATGGTCCAGATATCGAGTATGTTAATCTATTACATAATAGATATAGCAGCATCTTATGCCAATATTCCCAAATAGACACACCCATCAATTAGTAGAATTGTTAATGCCAGTTGATCTTGCAGCATAAAAATGCCACAAACCATGCAAACTGTCTTTTGAATACCTTTCTGACTAAACTGGCAAAAGCCAATATCCCATAATCAGAACTCTCAGAAATATTAAATTTGTTTTGCCTACACTACACTATTGACAATATATGTATATAATTTTAGACTAAATAACAAATTGTTCTTGGAGTCATAGGTTACACTCTATGTATCTTTAAACTCTGGTGGTTTTAAATTTTGAACCAAATTATTTTCAGCAGCAATACTCTTGATAATTTTTCCAAATACACCTCATTTGACTTTTAATTTGTATTATTTGATTCAATTTTTCTGCAGCTTTTATACAGATGTAAAGACTTCAAAAGGTGCTTTGTGTCACCTGGCCTATAACGCACTTCAACAGCACCTACAACAGGTGTCTGAAGTGATGACACCACATGCTCTACACCAGATGACTACTACCAATGAAACCATCAAGGTATGTTTTTTTGGAAGTTAGCACACATTAATCCTTCCAATATATTGGAAAAATTAAACATTCTGATGGTGCATACAGGTATTTTGACAAAGTACTGATATTTTTTTCTGTATTTTAGATTTTAAATGCACAAATTCTTCAGCAAAGTTCTTGTGGTATCTGCTTTGAAGATCTGCTGCCCTCTAGTGATGGATATTCTGGTACAGCTTTAGGTTCATGCCAACATTGGTTCTGTAATGACTGCTGGAAACATCACATCCACACCAGAGTTGGGCGAGGTGATTGCTCCATTCTTTGTCCCGTAAGTAAACGTCTTGATTAACATAGACAGAAGTAATGTAATACAAAAATGGGGTATGGTGTGTGTCTGTAATGTGTGACAAGTCTATGTGATTTGACCAAATATGGGCATATACCATATCTTGCTGGAAATTTTTTTTACACTTTACAAAGGAATATTTAAGGAACGTAAAAAATCCCAATATGGAAATTATTCCAATGCATAATTATCTTACAGTAGGTGGTAAGTGTACAAATTTCACTAATTAACAAGTGTTTAAAGTTTATTTTTAAATCAAATTTTATGTGCAGTAATTTTTCCCCTTTACTTCAGGAATACCAGTGCGATAGCAAAGTGGATACACCAACATTGATGTCATTGACCTCAAGTAGTCAATTTCAAAACCACATGACTCACAAGCAGAATAGAATTGTGGACAATGATCCTAGTTTGCATTGGTGTCCAGAACCAGGCTGTGGTCATGTAGGGAAGGTGTGCCAATGCAGTGACGGTGAAGGCTTTGTACCATGTGATTGTGGTAAGGCATGGTGTGTTGGATGTAAGGAAGACGTCCATTGGCCAGCACTGTGTGAACAAGCGGAGGAGTACTTAAAAACCTTAAGGAAGAGAGGTAACTATCATTACATTACGTAGTCAGGGGTCCTAACTCTCCTCAAGTCACGGAAGTCTCCCGAAAAACCGGGACGGCCTCCCAACACTCTCGTAAGCAAGACTCTCACAAAAACTCATCTCCCACAAATTTGTTAATCTGCATGTTTTTATTACTTTCATATCAATTGTCTCACGGAAGTCAGTGTCAATGGGTATTATCACCATGCATAGTAAATTAAGTTTAGATGTGTTATGATTTCCCTGAATCGACTTCTTCTAACTTGAGTCCCTGCATAATCAACAATCAAGATTTACAATTTTGAACATTACTGAAACCCTTCCAATTTTATTTCGTTTCAAGTAACATCGTTAAAAAAAGGTCTTGCAGTTGTGAACACACACCTAGATAAACTACAGTAATTGCCCTTTTTCTCTTGAATGATAACACCCCTTGATTATAAATGGAACATCCTGCTTATATCACCATGCATGAATGTTCCCACAAACATGAACATATCAACATTTTAAAATCCTTCTGTTTTTTAAATAAATAATTATAATTATAAATATAACTATTTTTTATATCTATGACCCCATTTAATTAAATAAATTTACTTCGAGATGTGGTATCACCCTCATTTATATTGTATACCAATGTATAAATTTACACACACTTTATTGTCTTTCTAGTAAATACAAATATGGAAATTCATCTTCCATTAGCAAATGCTTAACAAAATTAATTATACAGAACAAAATTACTCAGAGCAAATTACGATGACAAAATGCCAAATTTTGGTGTCTCTGGTGCAATTTTGCATGCATATTCTTCAGTTTACTAAATTAAACAAAATTAATTTAAAATTTAATGATATCATTCATTTGTTTTTCCACCATTCTTCAGAGGAGGACAAGAGAAGCCACAAAATCATGTCTGTCCGCGTGAAGAAATGCCCACACTGTAACCGTCGGATGGAAAAGAATGGCGGTTGTCCAAATATGGTATGCTTCTGTGGAAAGATATTTTGCTGGATTTGTTTGCAGCCTCATTCTTATTCACCAAGCTGTAGTAAATTAACTGCCGAGTTAGAAGTAAGTCATATTTTGAAATATGTACCTGATTTTCTATGTTTTTACTTTATTTTTGCATGTGTGAAGTTGGTGGGTCAGAATGACTACCTTCTGCCCTATTTAGTTCTATTTGTTACATCATCTTTTGAAGATTTTGACGATGGTCTTAAAAATGTGAAGTGTGATCTGTTGGGGTACCAAATATAAAAAATGAGTTATTATTATTATTATTATTATATTTATGGAAGACAATGTAAGCTTTATTTTAGTCATTGAATCAAGTTTCTTGGTTGAGTACAGTCTGAGTAAGATAATTTTCAAATTTTGGATGTCTCTTAAGATACACAACTGATAATTTCCTAGTTGGTTTTCCTGTCAAATCTGAAAAACAGCCTTACAATATTTGCCTGAATGTTGACTTCATGTATGCAAATCAACGCATACTGATTAAGCTTCTGGTTCATTTTTTAGACTGTTGAACTTTATCCTGTAATGATTGGTGTAACCAAAGATGAGATCCTTAGAAAAGCCATTGATTTCAAGAAAATGGCATCAAGAACCGCCTTTACCAAGATGAAGAGAGGTGTGGTTGGAGTGCTTACAAAAATGGTAAATGCTTATATTCTGATTTGTAGTTAAGTATATCAAAGTTACAAATGAGAACAGCTGGTATATCTAGGGGTGCACCCCGTACAAAAAATTACATGCACGTGCCCCTCCCCATTGAAAATGTTCAAACAAAAAGGAATCGCACTCAAATAACTTAAAATAAGCTCAGAACAACTTATTTTGTTGTGAGCAAGCACCCGCTCACCTAATCATACCCCCAAAAAAAGTTTGCGTCCCCTTGCTCCCCCTTTCCCACTGGAAATGTTCAAAGTCAAAAGATTACGCAAAAGTAGTTAAAAATTATCACACCTTTGCGCCTCCCCCCGCCCCATCATTTCCCGGTCTAAGCATGACTCAAGGCAAATTGTCTAATTGATAACATTTTTTTATGGTCATAGCATGCTAAGACAATCAAGCAAAACTCTGATAACAAGAATGCTACTAAAGGTGATCTGGTAGCAGTTGAGAAGAGAATCTGCAGTTGGTGTAGGACTGAGGAGCAGATGAAGATCCACACAGAGGCTGTTGCCATGGCAGACCAAGTTGCAGAGTTCTATACTGAAGTATGTTCACAATTTGCGGTATCTTGCTGCATAAATCCGTTTTTAGGTTTAAGCTACCTTTACACTAGTCACGATTGCAACACAACAACGACATACAGATGCGTGCAGTGTTGAAGAATACAAACTACGCGATGATATGTTGATGTCGTGTCGTAATCGTGTCTAGAGTAAATATGGCTTTCAAATGTAAGTTTATAAAAGTTGAGGATTGATTTACACAAAATATCCAGAGAAATGTAATCTTAGTAATAACAGTAATTTTTTGAAATTATGAACAACTCAATTGGAATTGAATACTGAACGACAGTGCACTGTGGTAGATCCAAGTATGATAATAATTTAACTTCAGAATAAGGGTGTTATTCATTTACTATAAAGCTACACGTGTAGTGATCATGTGTTTTTCTTGTGTCAGACATACCATTTGCTGGAGTGGACGTGCGTCCTCGTTGCTTACTCCGTTGTATCACAAAGCAAATTAGTGAAGAGAATTTATCACCTGCTACCTCAGCTTCTTATCGTTCTAGAGACAATGGATGAGGTTTGTCATTTCTCATATTGCAATGGACTGAAGTCTGAATGGATTGGTTCTTCTGGCCATTTAAACAGGAAAGAATAGTAGAACTCCTGTTAAGGGGGGCACCCTCTGGACCAAAGAAGGTGTCTCCTTAATAGGGTTGTCTGCTGAATAGGGGTAGGCCATAGTGTTAAAAGATATACTTCCACTCATTTTATGGCCGAAAATTGTACCCTAAATAGTGGTATTTCCTTAATAGGGGTGTCCCAAAGGAGGGGTTGTACTTTATCATAATAAAATCATGAAAATCTCTAATTTTCAAATTGTGCACCCTCATTTTCCTTCAGTGAAATTAACTTCATACCTGTATCAATGTCATCATAGAAAGTTTTCTTTTTTTTTTTTAGATTGTTTCTAAAAAGAAGATTAGTTGCGAGAATGCAAAAAAGACATTCAGACAACTTTTGACAAGCGGCAAGAAAAGGCGCCAAATCTTATATGACAGTGCAAGTACTGTGAGGGTTGAAGAGGAAAAAAAATTAACAAAGGAAAGGAATTAAAGAAAAAGATAATTTACAAGACACTTTTTTCAGAATTGAGCAATCAAAACAGGGCCAGCAATACGTGCGTTTCAAACAAGCATGCATGTTGTCCCACAAACACAAGCGTTTGCATAAGTTTAAACACTGTCATTTTGTGGGACCTTGGCAAAATATCCTAGAAGCGGGGCTTATTGGAAATTTCCATTGACAATTAGGAAGACCATTTGAACATTGAATTCCAAACTCATCTTAGTTATTGCGCAATATACTGTTATTTAACTATCACCATGACTATTCTTACCATTAATTAGTTTATATGATTGATCAATAAATCTGAACC